CAGATATTAATAATAATAATAATAATACATTTATTTTATATAGTGCTTTTCTAAAATGCATACAATACAGAACATAGATGTAGCAAATATGGAATATGTGACATAAGGTCTAGATTGCTACATATCCTTGTGTTTTTTTAAAAAACAGGAAGTAAGCAACAAAAACAAGCCATGGCTTGTTTTCAGTGTATGATTTGCTTAGTATTTAAAAAAAAAATGTCACTCTTGGTCATCATTTAAGGGGCATAATGATCCAGCCGTGGATCACAGCAGAGAGCTGGCGTTCGAGTGAGATGCCACCTTAGGGTGAAATGTTCAGCATTCTGCTGCCTCTTCGTTTCCCTGTTCGTTTCCTTTCAGTTCCTTTTGCCACCAACTAAAAAAAAACAATGTTAAAAAATCTCTCCTGCTAGTGTAAAAGAACCACTGCCAAATGTTAACACTTAAATCCTTATTGCGCATTAAGAGGCTTCAGTCGATCACAAAGAGCAATACATCAGTGCTTAGCAGATGCCGTGCACCAGGATACTTTGCTGTACCGCTCCTTTTGGCTCATAAATCATCTCTGACTGTAAAGCAAATCAATATATCATCAAGCTCAGCAGTCAAGGTGCTTTGTTTTATAACCAGCTATATTCTCAGGAGATACTAGACTGTCAAAGGCTGTCAAAGCCTTTCTGCTCCACTATGAGGACCTTCCCTCTCCTTTATCACACCACAATCCAGCTATTGAGTTGAGATTCTGAGCTTTTAAGGATAGGAACTAAGCCCTTCTGAGGGATTTAAGAAACCCTTCAAAATGACTCAGCAATTTGTGACATTTACATCCAGAGTATATTTGAAATGTCAGATATTTTAATATATGAAAAAGGCTATTTTGTCCATGAACCATAAAAACCAACTGTTTACCCTCCTGAGTTTACCCTCAATATAACTGTGCTGGTTGCTACACAGAATCCTCACAAAAGACAGGGACAAGATTGTCAGTAAGGAGAGGCAAGTTTTGTGGATGTTGTAGAAGGAGGAAACGTAATATGAGAGCCAGTCAGTTAGCAGCCCTTTGTAGTGGGGGCTCTTTGAAAGGAATAAACACATTAAAGAAGCTGAAAACTCATCGCAAAAACCCTCCTCCTTCATGATGTTCTCTCCTATTCTCCACCAGCCACTGTCTGGGCTATAGTCACTGACCAGGGAGGCACAAACACGCCTCTTCAAAGTAAGGAGGGTGAAAGTTCCACCCCTCATTATGCTCTCTTTTTACAGAGGCACTATTGAGAGTATCATCACTGGCTGTATCGCTGTGTGGTTCGGAAGCTGCTCTGCCTCCTGCCGTAAGGCTCTGCAATGGGTAGTGAATACAGCCAGCAAGATCATCGGCACCTCCCTGCCCCCCCTCATGGACACTTTCCATGCCCTCCTCACCCGCAGAGCCATCAGCATTGCTGGAGACTCCTCCCACCCCTTACACTCCCACCCCTTACACTCCCACTTCAGCCTCCTGCCTTCAGGGAGAAGGTACCGGACCCCCCGGGCTCCACAAGACTCTTAAACAGCTTTATCCACCAGGCTGTCATGAGGCTGAACTCTGCCCATTACCCCCCCCACTCTGCCTCCTGCCCCTGGACAGTAATTTATTCACTCACTACCTCAAGAACTGTTTATACTCATACCTTTCCACTGCTAATTTGTATTTGTATTTGACTTGTATGATTGCTACCATTTGCACTGTATTGTTCCCCATTTGCATCACTACCTTATCTATGTTTACCATTTGCATAACTACCTTTATATTATTACCATTTGCCGGAACGGATTAAGTTCGAGAACCGAGGTACCACTGTGTGTGTGTGTGTGTGTGTGTGTGTGTGTTATATACACACACACACAGACAGTGATACCTCGGTTCTCGAACTTAATCCATTCAACTCCGGATTGAATCCTAAAAAGTTCGAGTTCTGATCGAATTTTCCCCATAAGAAATAATGGAAAACCAATTAATTGGTTCCCAGCCCCCAAAAATTACACCTAAATGTGTTTTTTTAGCATTTAAACAGAAAATGAACCAGATAAAACAAGAAGAGCATTTACTGTACTAAACACATCTAAGGACATTTATCAAAACAGTAATTTTTAAAGTAAGAAAATAAATGTATCCAAAAAATGTGTCCTGCCCCGATAGTCCTCTCCTTCCATGTGCCACGCCCCCTTGTTAAACCCGTGTGGAATCCCCGTGTGATCAGCTGTTTCTGGTTGTTGTCATTAGCCCTCTGTATTTCATCAGAGTTTCAGTTTGTTTCCCCATCTGTGTTTTGCCTGCCTTACCTGTAATTAAACCCCGTATTCCCCGATACCCTGACGTCTGCGCCATTGTCTCCGTTCCGTCCCCGCTCGGCACGACAATATTATTATAATTAAATGTATTAATTGTTTATTATTAATATTAAAATAATTAATAATAATTCTTTATTTTAAAATCTATTTTATTATATAATAATAATCACTGTTACTGTCTATCATTGTCTAAATGTACATTTTTACTGTCTAAATATGTTTTCAGCTTGTGCAAACATGCACGATGCTATCACAGAGAATGTGAAGCTGAGACTGAAGCGTTATCCTTTGTTTCCGCTGAGAGACGTGCCGCGAGACTCATTTCCCCACACGTACAACTTATCTTAGGTCGGCGTTCACGGTTTGACTTCTGAGATTCAGATCGAGTTCTAGGTAATTTTTTTTCGAACTGTTTGGTTTGACTTTTAAGAAATTCGAGTTCTAATGAGTTCGAGTTTGTGTCTGGCAAAACCCTTCTTTGGTCAGCCTCATGCAAGCAAAGAAAAATTATTTCAGCAATATCTTTCCATTTTTGCTGATTCCTGAAGCCAACAAGAAAAAATTATCACCTCAGCCGAGGAAATAACACTCAGTCTTGTGCAAACCTGAGACATGCATCAATTTCAACTGGTATTTTCATTTTACAAATGTTTGGGTTTGTTTTGCAGGATTTTAAGAATGTGCATATTTTAAAAAGCAGAAGATTGGGCAATGGGGAGGTGAGGCCATTGGGATGGACTGCTTGAGGAAATAGAGGCAGAAGACTCGCCTACAGGAAGCTCCACCAGGTGTCAACATGTGTCGTGTTTGAGTGAGACCTCAGTCATTTCTAGAATGTGATGACCAAGCCATAATGCCTACAGAATCTGCACATGCATCACTAGAAAGGACAACAGTCTCAATGGAGACGTGACTAACCTTCTTGAAGAGCCTGATGACGTCCTCACTGATCTGCGACAAGCGCACGATGACATTGTTGATGTAGATGTCGTTTAGTGTGGCATGATCCCGGCTCTCACGTCTAGTCTGGTTCAAGACCAAATACCAGCAGTTCACAGGCGAAAGGAGGTGCTGGTCCTTCCTGCAGCAATGGAGACAAACGGGGAGAAGTTCATCACACCCGGCTTCATTTCACACTTTCTTTATTATTATACCTTGAAGATCACAATTTTGAAGTCATATCCAAAGAATTCCAACAGGGTAACAAAGGTATTCTCACAGCTATATGTATGTGTGGAGAGTAACACTAAATAAGGTTACACATTTGCAAACTGCAAACCATTGCAAACTGTACAGAAAACAAGACAGACAAAAGTATCCCATTCCGACATGGGCCAGTGTGGAGTAAAGTCAGTTCTGTTCTCACTGTAAATCTCAGCATTCATATTGACAGGGCGGCCTGACACTGTATCGATTACATGACTCCTTTACAACGAGATCCCCTATTGACCAAAGACAGCCATCTAAGCCGAACATAATCCGGCTTTCTTAGCTCTGTTCTAATCTCATCAAGATCATGAAAGGCTGCTCCTTGGCAAGGGGACCGTAGTAGTTCCTGTTACTCTTATGTGGTGTTAGTCATGATGTCTGCCAGTACACTTCTGATCATCTCATTCAAGCCAATCCTCCCTGATGCCCTACAAGAACAAAAAGGCTCATACTGGAAAATTAAACAGTCATAACCAATTCTGACCTTGAAAAAGAGTCAACCGATCATTGAATCACTGATCAGCATGGCATGTCTGATGGCCAGCCAATCAGAGCATCATTTGGAGTGCTGTTATTGGTACAGGCTGTTTGCATTGCTAGAGCAATGCCTTAATGATCTACACCTTGATTTTCTTTTACTATTTTTTTTATTGTTAATTTACTACAGTAATCACTGAAGCAACTAGATGGAAATATGGGTAAAGCTCCATAATTCTTGTTTCATAAAAGCACATAAAGCACATAATGTTATTTTCATACTAGAACTGTCTAATACTGCACCCCTTAGTGCAATATATTCTAATTTATTAGCCAATAATGACATCATTAGTGGATATTTTACTTTGAAATAATATATTTGGTGAGGAAGCCTGAAGGACCTGCAACTCTTGCCCTGAATACTCCTGTTAAGGGACTTAAGGGCCTATATCCAACAGCCAAGTTAACACTACTCTGGTGTTTTCTGTTTCTGTATCAGTACTCAGGGATTTAAAAGCCCCTGCACTGTCCTGCACCATACATAAGAGCCCGGTTACTACCAACACGGCTATTTATTGTTGAAATAAAGCTTTTTTAGCAGCACAGTGGCTCACACATTTATCTCACACTTCCAGGGTTTAGGCTTTGAATTCTGTCCCCACTCTGTCTGTCACTAACTGGCCAGTAACATCTGAATGTCTGCCAGTGTACACTGGCATCCCACCCAGGGTGCTGCCTGTAATAGGCATTGGGTCCCCAGAAACTTGAAGACGAATGATTCCTTTTTTTCTAATACTAATTTAAAAAGGCCTGGTTTTTTTCTATAATCAAACTTGTCACACCATGTCCTGAAGTTTTGACAGGTAAACATCCAAGCCCTATATGCCACTTTTCTTTTTTCATCCCCACTCATTAAAAATTTAGCAGAAGCAGAGTCCTAGCAACAGCTCGCTCAACCCTCACTACTTCCCGTGTTTTTGACAGAAATGCAGAAAGATGTACCTTGCCGTTGGCAGTGTTCAAAACACACAAACATGCAAAACGAAGTTGGGACACATTAGGGCATCAGGAGCCAAACTGCAATGCACATGTCCCTGTTTGAGATGTTGCTAAACACATCACCCGGTGGTATTTGAGCATGGAAAAAAGTCTCAAAAACATCATTGATTGGTCTTTCATTTTTTGGAAGGTTAGTTTTAATGACATGCTGTAGGCTGCTTTTTGTGTCGCACAGGAACCAAGTGCTGAAGGTCTAAGAAGGTCGACACCAACACAGCGAGCCACTGGAGGGGTCACATGCAGCTAAAGGCAATATTCACAGTTCCCGGGCCTCACTAATCAAAGTATCACATTGCGCCCTCTGAGCCACGGAAATCTGACAGGAGGACCACTTCCAAATGTGCCCTCATGGCTAGTACACTCTGGAGGTCCTGTGCCCATCTGCTGTTAGCCAGTGAGCAAATCATAAGCCCTACAAGAGGTTCAGTTCCTTATCATTACACAGGACAAGCTCTTCAAAAGTCATTAGAGGAGAGACAGTATTGAAAACATTTTTTCCCAGTTCAAGGGCATCACTGCTTCACTCCCTCATGACTAATTTTCCTGACCATTATCCATCCATCCATCCATGTCCTATACCTGCTTAAATGTGTGAGATGTTTTGTGTGTTATGCTGTACAGTGTATTTGACCTCTTTCCTATAATGATCAAGATACGTCCAGAGTGACTTATGTTGTCAGTACTGGGATGAAACCTGGACGTATGTTGATGGATACCTATAATAGCAGTAGGAGTAGTGTTTAGGTAGCACAATTCAATACAATACAATTCAATGCAATTCAATTCAATTCGTATACTGCATTTCCACAACATTACATTGTCTGGAAGCGCTTCACGTCATCTGCACCCAAAGCCCCCAGTGAGCAGCCAAAGGTGACAGTGACAAGGACAAACGTCATAGAAAGAAGAAGCCTTGGGAGAAACTAGACTCAAAGGGGGAGTCCATCCTCCAGGGACCAGCAAAGGAAGTCAAATGGGCAAAGTCCAATTCATACTGTCCCAATTTTAACATTTCAGTCTCAAAACAGGGGACAGGCAGGTGATGGGAGGCAGGTGCTGGTGCTGCTTCAGATGGGAGGATGAACAGTGGTAATCTAAAGTGGACCTGCACATGTACGTCTTCACTAATTGACTAGGATGGATGGCTGGATTATTCAGCCCAATTGATAGTACAGCACCAGTTTTCCTAGTGGAGCATCCTGCTGAGCTACCTGACTTGGATCCATTGTTCCACCTGGGCCCACTGCCTGTCTGGAGCATCTACTGTAATTATAGGGCCACAGGAAAGCTGTATATTGATTATAAGGTCAGGTCATAAGAACGGAGAACATGCAAACTCCACACACATGGAGCCATGGTGGAGACTCAAACCCTGGGCTCAAAGGTGTAATAAATGATACTGATGATAAATTCTTTGTGCCATTTGCACAAGTACAGGTACATTGGAGTGCTTCTCTTCATCCACCCCATTTTGCTCTCCATAGCTTGGGGGTCACAGTGCAGGATCAGCCAATGTGTGGTGCCCCTGGTGCAAGGGGTTAAGGGGCTTGCTGAAGGGCCCCTGGGTATGTGACTGATCGGGCACAGCTGGTGCTTGAACTGATGATCTTCTGATCACGGGCAGAGAGACTCTGAGCCTGCTGCACCACTCACCGCCCCCAACAGTTATGAGGCAACAGTGCTGACCACTGTAGCACCGTGCCAACCCAGGAAAGAATCAGACCAAAGTCAGTTCTTTGAAATGTCTGATCCATTGCAAAAATGAATAGATAGACCAGAAATAATTAAGAAAAAAAAAACTGAAAAAGAATGCTGTCCGGAGTCAAAGTACAATAAATTGCTTTCTGCTTTGGTAACCAATGCAGTGAGTTCACAGATGTGTTTACAGAATCAGATGCTTTGTCCCTCTCCTGTGATTCGAGGATAAATCACACTTCACACAAAGACTCCACTCCTGAGAGAGGCTTTGATGCCACTCAAGCATGGCTGCTTATCGACAAGTAAAGGGAGTTGGAGGATGGGGGGGAATCAAAGGGAAATCAGAACCAGAGGACTGAGGGAGGGACCCATCAGCTTCACACTTTCGAGAGGTCTGCTTTCAGACATCTTGTAAGAATGTTCTCTGCTGCCCATGCTGCTGCAGCAAGGGGGCTGTGAGCATTTTCACAGAAGGAAGATTCCCACTGGTGCATTGCTCGGGCCTAGGAGCTGAAAAAGGCACATCAGAAAGCCAGGATGGCAAGTTACAAGCATAAATGGACGATGATGGTGGGCCTGTCACTTGCACGGTACCCAAAGGAACACAGGGCTGGTGTCTACACTGCATGAATACATGGTATAAAAATGTATACCACACAAAGGGAAGTGTGCAAGCTCACACGCTCACTCTTCAGGGAGCCCCCGAGTGCCACAGGGTCGGGATGGAGTCTACACTGCATGAATACATGGTATAAAAATGTTTACCACACAATGGGAAGTGAGAAAGCTGACACTCTCACTGTACAGAGTTGGGATGGAGTCTACACTGCATGAATACATGGTATAAAAATGTAGACAGTGGGCTATGACTCTGTGCCTGTAATCGAAAAGTTGCTGGTTAAAATCCTGTGACCAGCATCATTCCGACACTGGGTGACATTGAGCACTTGAGCAAGGCCCTTAACCACCAGGGGCCCCGGACACCTGACAACCCTCACGGTGACACCCAAGCTCACTCTCTCATCTATATGTGTCTGGAGACTAATGGAGAGCAAGATGAAGAAGTTGAACACAATTTCCACACAGGCTGAATGAGGGTGTCTCTACTAGCACATGAAGGCCAGAACGTGAAGAAGAAAGGCAGTGCTCTTCATCACGCGGCATTCAAGACCAAAACGGAGCTGAATAAGTGAAGATTTCAAAATGTCCCATATCTGTTCAGAGCCTCACCTGAACTGAACACTATTACACAGAGACTATGAAAACAGCTCCACCTGTTGTTGATCTTTCATTGCGTTATGGTGGGAAAGACTAATAAGGCATCTCATAGGCATTTAAAAATGCAAATAACTCATAAGATTTCCCATGACAGCTGACATATTTATGTATTATAAACAAAGATAGGACTCTTACACATTGTTTTCCTCTCTCAGAAACTTCATTTATGAAATAAATATTGCGTAAAGTTTTACATAAAATCAGTCACTCTTTATACAATTTAACATTTTTCAAACAGGGGATCTCTGAAATTATTTTAATCTGACTGAGGGTTATAACATTTGATTTGAATGCCAATTCATTTTAGTATATTTGAAATTGCAGAAATGGTCGCATAATGTACATTAGGTACTTTTTTATTCTTTGGAATCAAAGTCATGAAAAACAGTTGAACTTCAATTTTACCAAACAGTAATGAATTGTATAATGTTGTGTTTCTTAGGTCCAGCCATACTCCAGCCCAACTAATCAAGCCCTAGACAACAGATCACATTAACTACTGACATCTCATTAAGTATGAAGCCATCGTCAAGCTTTCATGCATAGTCTGGGTAAGATTTTTCACTGAACTCCCAGATTCCAAACAGTGATTTCAGACCGAACAGCACAGCAGAATCTCACTCCCAGTTCAGCAGGTGAGGATGGGCCTTTTCTATTACTCAGAGACACTGAGAAATCTTTAATGACTGCCACCCCCCTGCCCACATCAGATTAGTTGCTAATTACCATTTGTTAATGCAAACAATGGCTTATCTCTTTCAGACAGGTTGGTTCCCTGTTGTTATAGGCGAAACGGGAATAAAACCCACCGTGTTTAGACTGTGACCCTGCTTCAGGGTGTGGAACACAGAATGCAGCATAGAGAACACACTGCCTCACCCAAAGGTCAGTCTTTATCACTTTTATGAGACTCAACAACCTGTTCAATTACACTTAATTGCAGTATTGAGATGATGAGTCAATACTGCTCATCAGTCACCACTGATGGGTAAGATATGTTACGTAGTGTTACATAGTGTAATATGTGTTACATAGTGTTACATAGTGTAATATGTGTTACATAGTGTTACATAGTGTAATATGTGTTACGTAGTTGAAGACAGTGGTTGCATAGTATAAAATGTGTAGTGTAAATGTTATATAGCAATATGTAGTGTTATGTAGTAGCCCAGCTGACAGTTGCAAGACAGTGCAGCCCAATTGACCCATTGGGAAAAGCCCCCTTTCGAGATTTAATACAGTATGGGCTTCATTTTCCACAGCATCCCCGTGTGAAAGGGACAGCTTCCAAGCACCTTTCCTCCTCCGACCGCACAACAGCATCTGCAGAGCATCACGCCCTGGAGCAAGCGAATAAACACAAGTTGCCCATAGACCAGACGTCCGCAGAATGCTGCCAAGCCTTACACTAACTGGCATGACACATCAACTGTCTCGTTTAGTGTACGTTAATGGTACTTAGACATGGCTGGTATAAACAGTCAAAGCAGCCATCATAGCATTACACCTCATGGTCCAGTGGCAGCCTGCAAAGATGTGAAGCAGCAGCCAGGGCCCAAGGAACGCTCACCAGCATGAACGAGGGCCGTCAACAAGAAAGCAGAAGGCTGACTTTCCCACAGTAAAGCTGAATAAATGATGGAACAGGAGAGCTGGCTGGATTGAGGTTTCCTGGGGGGGGGGGCGGGTTAAGAAAGAGTGTTATGACAGGGAAGAGGAGGTTCAGGATGACGGCCATCACCGGCTATGCTGGTGAGGTGAAGAAGGCCCTGCAGCCATCGTGTGTGTGTCGTGTGTATGTGTGTTATGGACTGAGGGGCCCACTCCCTCCCAGCTGTGTTCTATTAAAGAGGCAAACCCCAGCTGGAAGAACAACCCCCCCCCCCACCTACAAGCTGATCATGAACAGACTATGTGGATTTGCCTTTCTCAAAGTCCCAGGCAAATACCAGCTGGTTATGCTCTTTTTATTCACATAATTACTATTATCATTATTTTATATTGAAATAGCCGGCTTATCCAGTTTAATTTTGGTGTTTCATGTAAAAAGTTCCAGGGCACAATAGCACATTTCGGGCTAAATACAGGCAACTTTTTGAAACCATCTGAACGTTTCTCAAATGCAGTGCAATGAAAACTAAAACTGTGGTCAGCTGACCATCAAACTATATCTCAGACTTTAATCATTAAATCTCAGATGTCTCACTGGTATAGACAATATCACAAGTATAAATATATACAATATATTCTAATAGCACTCTCGATATTCTACTAGCGCTCTGGATATTCTGCTAGCACTCTGGATATTCTGCCAGCGCTCTGGATATTCTGTTAGCGCTCTAGATATTCTGCCAGCGCTCTGGATATTCTGCTAGTGCTCTGGATATTCTGCTATCCCTCTGAATATTCTGCCAGCGCTCTGGATATTCTGCTAGCGCTCTGAATATTCTGCCAGCGCTCTGGATATTCTGCTAGCGCTCTAGATATTCTGCCAGTGCTCTGGATATTCTGCTAGCACTCTCGATATTCTACTAGTGCTCTGGATATTCTGCTAGCGCCCTGGATATTCTACTAGTGCTCTCGATATGAAAATAGCGCTCTGGATATTCTGCTAGCGCTCTGGATATTCTACTAGCGCTCTGGATATTCTACTAGTGCTCTGGATATTAAAATAGCACTCTGGATATTCTGCTAGCGCTCTGGATATCCTACTAGTGCTCTGGATATTAAAATAGCGCTCTGGATATTCTGCTAGCGCTCTAGATATTCTACTAGTGCTCTGGATATTAAGATAGCGCTCTGGATATTCTGCTCGCACCCTGGATTTTCTGCTAGCGCTCTGGATATTCTGCTAGTACCCTGGATTTTCTGCTAGCACTCTGGATATTCTCCTATCACCCTGGATTTTCTGCTAGCGCTCTGGATATTCTACTAGTGCTCTGGATATTCTGCTATTGCTCTGGATATTCTACTAGTGCTCTGGATATTCTTCTAGCACTCTGGATATTCTACTAGTGCTCTGGATATTCTGCTAGCGCTCTGGATATTCTACTAGTGCTCTGGATATTCTGCCAGTGCTCTGGATTTTCTGCTAGTGCTCTGGATATTCTACTAGTGCTCTGGATTTTCTGCTAGCGCTCTGGATATTCTGCTAGCGCTTTGGATATTCTGCTAGCGCTCTCGATATTCTACTAGGGCAGCGATTCTCAGCTGGTTTAGCCTCAGGTCCCATAGTATTCCTCGGTAAGTAAATCATGACCCAAATCATAAAAGTTGTGGACCTGGGGGAGTAGGTGACAAATTTTACCATCATTACCCATACTTTGTAGAAGTAGTCCTCTGTAAATATTGTTGGAGTCCCCTGCCTTAGAATCTAAATCTTCTTTTATTTTTCACAGAGACCCCATTTCATTCTCAGTATTGGAAGTGCTTATTTCAAGGATTCTTTGCAAGGAAACGTCTACAACCCCCACTAAGCCACTGTTATTCGCAGTGTCAAAATGTGAGGAACTAACTATATTAACAGTTCTTGGAGCGCCCTTTGCTAAGTGAAAAGCAGGCTACTTTATAAGACTCCTTTCACCTGTTTCAGGCTACATTATTTCTCTGAAATAATGACCAAAAAGTAATGAGTCGAAATGTAAGTCAGAATATTCAGCAATAAAACTACTTTCTGCCATCTGGATTTGGCTATAAAAACAGAAGAGAAATGAGGAAATGCTCTCTCTCATCTCATGCATTCCTGTATAAGGCTGCAAACTGCACACTGTGATCCAAAAGCCTTGAAAAGTAGCGTAAGGTGGCTACTGCTTACAAAAACAAAACCAATATTTGTCACAGGTTACGAGGCAACACAGAAATTGATCTAAGTCTGGCTCTCCATCCTGGTTTGACTCAGTCAAAAGCAGGCAGTAAAACTATAAGCTAGGTCAGGGGTCTCCAACTCCGGTCCTGGAGAGCTACCGTCCAGTAGGTTTTCTATCATACCCGGCTTCTGATGAGCCACACCTGTTCTCAGGTAAATACCAGGAGCAGGTGTGGCTCATCAGAAGCCGGGTAGGATAGAAAACCTACTGGATAGTAGCTCTCCAGGACCGGAGTTGGAGACCCCTGAGCTAGCTAAATCATTTTGGCAACCTGCCAAGCAAATAAATACTTTGAGACAATAATGTTAAGCAAATTACTCTGCTTTGGGGCTGTGTGACTTATAAACAGCAATGTGCATTAGGCGTGGTGTGCGAGCAGTTTGTTTTTGGAATGGGACTGTGGATTTCAGGGAAAGCTTGATCAATATGTTGAAACTACGCTCACTCCCTCAGCATTGTTCACCTAGCTGTTCTGATCTTCAAAGACGCAAGAAGCACTTCTGATGCCACTAATATTACACAGATGAAGCACGTCGATCCATAACAGCTACACTTTGGTGCTTTTTAAGTGCCAAAACTAACGGGTGGACAAGCACAGCCGAGCTGAAGAGGAGTCCAAGCAGACACAGACTGGATAACAAGTTTGGCCTAGTTGGGCTGGAGCGCTGTGCTTTGCAGCTGTGAGGCTTCTTCGCTTCCCTGAGTCCAGCCCCTGGCACCCCCTGCAGACCTGGTCACCTCAGACTCACTTGAATTGGTGGTGCTCCCGAGAGCTGCGGATCTTGGAGGAGAAGCGCTCAGCCAGCTTCTCCAGGCTGCGGGAATACTCCAGCTGGATCTCCGCCTTGCGGCGGAAGAACTCCTGCAGGTCTTGCAGCAGTTGAAGGCGTGACTCGGACTGCTGCTCCAGGCATTTGAACTGCTCCACCAGCTGGTTGCGAATCTCTGTCGGCCAAAGACAACCAAACATCATGACCACTGCTTGTAATTACAAACCACAGCGCAAAGTTGATTTTAATTATTCAAAATTAAATATAATCACAACTGCCAAACAGATAATTATTTGCAAAAGGTCTGCAACAAAAATTCTACATCATAAAATATAGTTTTATATATCCATGGTCATATACATAGGTCACTGCTTTGTAGAAACGGTCATTTCACTGATCAAAATCAACAACCTCACTGCAGTTCATTCCAAAATGCTAGTGGAGTTTCTATAACTGATGTTTCAATCATATCACTTTCTGTCTGCAAACCTGCAAATGCAGATAACTTTCAGCTGCCCTCCAGTCCATCCAGGTGGGACAGCCAAAGCTAGGATTGCAACAAAAGTCTCTGTTGCTAGTGCACCATCCCGCCAGGACAGGGTCAAAACAGGTGGAGCACACACCTAACGGAACCTCAACACATATGTCTGTGTGATAGTTTGAGAAAGAATATATAAATTTTCCCACAGGTATTCCGTGCTTTGTGGGCCATTTAACAAACAGGAATGTCAATAATGAACAACAACAGATCTAAGGCCTATTAAGGCCTTACTACTAAGAGACACTTAAATACAAAGGAGACAAGGAAACAGGAAACAGTTGGGGCAATTACTCTGAGGGACAGGAACAAGAGGTAAGGCAAACCCAGCCTGGGCATGGCCTGTTATGGCCACGCCAGGGAGGAATCGGGATTGGCAAGGCATCCACGATGGGGACGACGTGACAAGTACAGTTTAGCTGATGCTGCTGCTGCTTACGAACCTTTACTTATGCATAATTCTACTGGAGTCATAAGAGTGATTTTTTTTCAAGCGTGAAACAGGTTTAGATATATGATGAAAACTGATCAAAGTTTGGGAGTATCTTTAAAACCGGCAACTTCTTTGAGGGAAAATTTAAGCAACACTCTTTCTGTTCAGTTACACAAGACAAACAATTCATAGCAAAACACAATATCACTAAATTACACACACAATACAGTATCACCCAGAGTTTGCTTCCTTAAATGGCATATTCTCTGCTTCCGCTACTTACATTACAGCTACAGTGAAGGTCGGCCTGCCCTCTCACTGTGTGCAAACGCAGAGACTTGAGAAACAGACATATAATCATGAGCTCAGATGTCAATGAGTAGGTGCTACCCAGAGCAGAAACCAGAACAGCACAGGCCACTATTAAAGACACAGAACGCTGATTTTCCTGCTGCTAAAAGAAAATCGCATTCATGTGAACGGAACTAGATCCATCCAGTGTCTGTGGTTCCACAATACAAAGCAAGGCTGCCTTTATTTTAGAGAAATAATGTAGGCTGAAACAGGTGAAGGAATCATAGAAAGCAGCCTGCTTTTTACTCAACAAAGGGTGCTCCAAGAGCTGGTAATATAGTGGGTTTCTTAGTATAAAATGTCATATTTAGGTTGATGTCAGTCGTCAAAACATGCAGACCACTTCAAAATTATTCAAATGTCAAAACAAATTCAGTGTTCAGAACCATTTTGTAAATGTATAAAATCAAAGCTCTGCCAGATGTCATATCAAAGCCCCCGTATGGTTGTAGACAAGGCGCCGATCCCTCAGGTCCAAGGACTGCCTGAACCAAGGTTATCTGTGGGATAAAATAATGGAAACACAAGATGACAGCATGAACACTGCGAGCTCCTCAGCGGGACTGGCAGATTGCCTTTGCCAGTGGCACAGAAGCCCTCAGATGGCTCTTTACAGTTATCAGGTACATGAAAGATTAATCCTGACTTTCTTAGAAGAACATTTCTTCTCTGTAGCTCGTCCAGCCATGTTACTTTGAAGATTAAAGACATTCTTCAAAGAGATATTGTTTCAAGGGACAAAGGACGTTTTAGGCCCACACTAGGAACAAGGGCTTGATTGTAGGACAGCTCATGGATTCACGGAGTGGTGTGTGGGGTAGGAGGTTGTGTCTGGAAGGTCACTGGTTCACATCCCATGGCAGACAAAGTAACTAACCATAATCATATAACTGCTCCAGAGCACCAAATAAATGGCGAACCCTGTGTTTTGACCCCAAGGTTTGTTCACATCCATGTGTCTCACAGGAGAACAAGGAGGGATATGCAAAGGTTGAAATATAAATGAATGACTCCAGACCAATAGTGACATGCCATGATTTTGTCTGGAGTGTTTCATTTCTCAGCTCAGCACAGAGAAGCAATAAACCCAGATCCAGAACATCAAATGGACAATCAGAATAACTAATCATATCAGTTAAGCAACTTGACCATTGAGGGCTAGGAAAGTTCCCTCCACCTCCAAGCCAAGCTGCACACTCCTGTTTCTGGTTAACCACTCCACCCGAACCTTTCTCCCTGCCAATATCTGTGGCTTCACCCCTGCAACCCTGCGCGCAAATACCTCACATATCCCAGAGACCAAAACCATCTCCAGCAACCCAGGAGAAAACTAACTTCCTCCCAGTTCTCCAAAGTCCCCCATATGGGGCCTTTTCCAAATCTCCCCCTTTATCTTTTTCCCCCTTCCCCGGCATATATCAAATGACGGCACCCACACCTCCGAGGAACACTACAAAATTAGACGCTGAATTATAATTCCGGTGCTATATTAAGGGCTCCAGAAGATAATGTTGTGAAAATCTGACAGTGTAGCTGGAAAATGGGTCACATCAGCATCACAACAGCATCATATCAGCATTGTTTGCAGCTTTCTGAGATCCTACAAAAAAGGAAATATTTTGAATCCTTCCTGCAGTTTCCTTCAGTTTAAAACTTTCTTTTATTCACAGGCAAAGAGGGATGCTACAGGTTTTGGAAATTTTGCTAAGTACAGCTGGAATAATCCTGATATACTGATATTACATGTGAAATTCTACCCCTCAAAGGTTGGCATCAAATCAAATTATCCTAAATAATATTTCACATAAAATATTGTCATCAGCTGTGACGGAGAGGAAAATGGCACATTTCTGGGCAGAGTCTGCTTGGATGTGTAGCCATGCGGCTCCATCTACACGCATGCGGCTCCATCTACACGCATGCGGCTCCATCTACACGCATGCGGCTCCATCTACACGCATGCGGCTCCATCTACACGCATGCGGCTCCATCTACATGCATGCGGCTCCATCTACACGCATGTGTCACTCAGGAGGTGGCGACAACCTGGGCTCTGAAATTAAAGGGCAATATCTGACAGTACCCAGAATGTGACAGACAAAGTAGATGCGGATGACTCCTCCAGATACGTCTAAAAGCATAAATAAACCCCACTAAAGCTGCTGTTATAAACACAAACACAGCTACAGCACAGGCATACTCTCTGAATTCTTAATTCTTCCACAAAATCAGGTAGTCGGCTGTTCTTTTGCATCTGGCTCATAGGTCGATTTGCCGAAGAGCCTATCCTAGCTTAAATCCATTTCCCTAAATCATTTCCTCTGTGAATTGTTTATAGTTAAGCATGCACCAGGCGTCGATCCTGACTGGGTAATAATAGCATGTTTCCAACGAGTGAAATTGAGCGTGCGGCAGAATTCCAATGTGGCGATCCCGGAATCTCTGGCCTTCCCTATTATCTATTTATTCGAGCAGACAGATGAGGCTTTGTGGGCTTTTCTGCACATATAAAAATGGACACGCTTGTCTGCTCCTGAATGGCTTGTCTGTATCGATGAATTATACATCAACAGTATGGCCGACAAGCAGGAACTTCCCCGTTTCAGCGTAGGGTGAGAACGTCTCTCTCATGGCGCGCCGGCCCTCATGGCTGCCAGGAAACAGAGAAGCACAGTGAGCAGGCTTTGGATGGAGTTCACTCTGCTTAGGTGTCGAAAGATCACATGACTAAAAGCTCGGAGCTGGCCTTTTACTCGTCCCCGCTGTAGATGGAGATACGAGGAATACAAAGCAAACACATCTGCTTTTTGATGGTAAGGCCAATGAATTCCATCACTTACTAGCAACTTTAATAATAATTAAAAGCTACAGCAACAGGATTAGCACTGCAGTTAGAAGTCAAAATGACCACAGGGGTTTGGGTTCAGCAGACACCTTTTGCTGAAAGCCAGGGTAAAGTTTTGGGATGAAACTAAGGCTAGCACACATCCCAAAAGCCAAAAGGCCTTGCTATCATGTGACATAATAACTTTGCCAGGAAACAGATTTAAACCAACAACCATCTGGACCCAAGCATAGACTCCTAACCCACTGAGGTACACACCAGTCACTCTTTAGCAGAGGTTACGAGTTTGTCAAAGCAGAAGCTCTTGTAATTAATTTTATAGGTTATTTAAATATGCAATATGCATAGTGCAGGGCAAGTACTATTGTAATTAACCAGATTTTCCTCAAAATATACAGCTGTCCAAATATGTAAAAGACCCTTTTAAATAGCAAATGAATAAGAGAAGCGCCAAAAGAAAACCCTGCTGCAAAACATATTTTTTATGAGAAAACTACTTGCTGGGGCCAGATGTAGAGTAACACAGTATTTCATTCCATGAACACCTGCCCTGCACATTAATTACACTGTGATGTCCTGAGAAAGAGGGCGTAGGGTGAACAGCCTTCCTGCTCAGAAACCCTGAAGATCCTTGGAGAACAATTGGTGGAAATAGGAGATCCCTGACCTTTGACCTCTGAACTATCACACAGCTGTACAGTGTTATGACATCTCAGTGGAAGGGGCTGCTAGAGCTGGCCAACCTGCGAGGGAGAATCAGACAATGGCCAGGTTTATGAGAAAAGCTAAGGCAGGAATCATTGTCTCTCTCTAAATGAATAAATCCCACATCTGTGTCTGCGTTTTGTTCTCTGGAGGACGAAATATAGCTGAAGGCTACATGTTACAGTCAGCTGCTTCTACAATACGGTTCTGTTTATTTCATCATGCAAAACGACCTCAGCCCTGCCCAGTTGCATTCATAAGCAAGTTCAACTTGCTAATGAGCCCCACAATTTGTACAGA